TCGGTGTACTTCGTTCAGTTGTGTGCTCCTAGTTTGAATAAATGAATTTTACGACTTAAAAAGATAAAATAATAAAACTATTTCACACATTTGGTTTTAAACCAATATACATTTACAATGTCGTTATTACATGTTATATATATTAAGTGGAGTCAGTCAGCACCCGAGATTCAACGTCGATTCGAGGGTGGTTTTCAGGTTACAAATTCCGATTTTGCATTACAAGTGACACAAGTGGAGCTAATTATCTAAGGTTTGAGTCGAAATTTAATTCGGTGCCAGGCTGACGTCATCCAACACCCAAAATTTGAAAACGCCGATTTCGAGGGTAGTTTTGGGTTACAAATTCGATTTTGCGTTACAAATTGTTACCGTGGTGTAGTGCTAAAAGGTTTGAGGTCAAAATTTTGAATTCAGGGTGCCAGGCTGACGTCAGCAGCACCCCAAATTTGGCTTATGATTTCAGGGTAACGTTACAAATTGTTACAAATTAGGTACTAATTATCTAAAAAGGTTTGAGGTCGAAATTTCAAATTCGGGGTGCCAGGCTGACGTCAGCCCAGCACCCCGAAAAAATTATCCCTTTTTTCGGGGGTAAATCTTGTGTTACAAATTCTAATTTTTGCGTTACAAATTGTTACAAATTAGTTACTAATTATCTAAAAAGGTTTGAGGTCGAAATTTTGAATTCGGGGTGCCAGGCTGACGGACCTTTAATACTAGACTTAAAAATTGTCTTATTACTTTTATTTTCGGTTTATGTACCTATAATAAAATTTTTATTTTTGAGAATAGGCTTGTCAATTTATATAGTTTCTTATAAGATGTTCTTAACACAATTAAAAAATATTAAAAATAGGTATGTTGTAATGAGCATTGAGAAAAAATGGTCTTTTAGTTATTAATTTTAATATACATTATACACATTTTAAATAATAATTATAAGATTCACATTATTATATTACTATAAAATGCTATTCGTTTATCTTTAAAAATTGTAAAATGCTGAAAGTAACTAATTTTTAACTAAAATATGTTAAGTTTTTTTCAAACCAACCTGTAATTTTTACAAGTTAAAAATGTACTTTTAACTTTAAACTTAATCTACATTTTCTAAATTAACTTAATTTAACAATTAAAAAAAAAGACAAAAAAATAGTTAATTTACCAAATATATGTATATAAAAAAAAAAATTAATTTATCAAACATTTAGATTAATTTGAAATTATAATTATACCAAGAACCTATTCACAGCGTTTTACGGTATATTTGCATTGACATTTAAGTTAATAACAGATTGGACCTAATAATATTAAATGAAATAATATCAGGATAATAATATAATTATTAACTATAAAATATATTACGTGATTTGACGATTTGTTTTTGGAAACAATTTGTATAACCTACTATATTGATAATAAAAAAATACATTTCTAACACTAATAAAAATTTAATATAGGTAATGAAATATTTTTAGAAATATTGACTGAAACACGATCTCTGCTCAGAATCATTTTTCTTATGTAGTTATATTTATCATTTAAATTTAATACATCTATTACAGGACTATGCTCAATGATGAGGTACACTCGAGTATTCGATACCTTTTTTTTTAACCTACTATACAACAAAATTACTTTTTAGTTTTTAATTAGAGGGAATATAATAATAACAATAATGATTATTATCAAATTTATTTTTCTTTATATTTTAAGTGCTTATTTTTATAAATTATATTAATTCAAAATTCTAATCCTGAACTTATTCCTTAGCCCTCGTTTATCACGATTAAGGAATTATGAATTATTTCAATAAAGATAATTTTACCTCTTTAGATACTAAATATATTTCAATAACTAGAAAATCTACGAGGAACTTATAAGGGAGAATTTAATGTTACAAAATCATTTTCATAAAAAAAAAACTATTAAGATAGATGAATAAGCAACAACACACGGTTATATATATTGATATGTACATATAATATTATGAGTTTATGACAATGATAAATTAAATAGTACCTACTATAATATAATTTAAATAAATAATTTTGCTAAAAATAAACAATGCAAAAGTACTTATAACTAACTTTTTTATTGGCCTAAATAATATGCTAACAAGTAGTAGGTACATTAAATCATAGGGTTATAGGTACCTTTCTTATAACTTAAAATTGGTAACACGTCCGTACGAATGAAAACGTATCAAGACATAATATTTTAACAATAACATTAAGTAACGATTTCAGGAAAAAAAATATAGGATCACAACATGATGATTATAAAGTGGCAACGGTCACTAATAAAATAGATAATATTTAACTTTAAAGATACGGTAAATACACACAATTTATGCATCTAATAAAGATTACAAATAGACCGAGAAAATAAAGTTAGAGCAAAAAAAAAGAAAGTCTTTAAGACAACGATTATTTAATAAGACCCTATTTATAGTTAATCATAGTTTTAAATGGATGACTCTCGATGAAGCGCGTTTAATATCAACCGAGATGATACTGATATAGGTTCATCTATTGCCGGCTTGATTGTTTTAGATATTGTGTGTTTATTTGTTAAGATTGCAGTTGCTGTCGGTGTTAAAACTGTTGTAAATTTGGCCCTTGGAGTAGTAGTTGTACTTGGTTTTTGATACTGAAGTCGGTTTAATGACCATTTTTGGTCGCTGTTCATGGTATTGAATTTCGTTTGTTGTGATTGATTTTTCTGTGGCCAGTTATCGCCCGACTTATCTATAAAAAAAATTGCATTGTATTTATTGAATAAATAAACAAACAAATAAATAAATAAATACGTACATAAATTTAGTTGCTAATTTTAAATTGGTTACACATTTTTATGGGACATTTAGTGTAGGTCAGTAAGTGAAAAAAAATATTTTTTATTACCGTAAGATCTAGAATAATATAGTTTAATTATAGATTATAATATATGTAAGTTTTTGTATAGACTATATAGAGTATGCATTATTGATTTATAGATAAAATAATACGATTAATCTACATTAATTTAAAATTTTATCGATAAAATGTTTTTGTATCTCATTATTATTAAAAATAAAACAATGGAAAGAAAATAGATAATATTTTTGAGGTTATGAAATAGGTACTATTTGAATATTAAGTTACATACTTGGTACATGTTTCAAAATTTAAGGTATAAAAATCATTTTTTTTTTAAAGAGCTGTGATTTTAATGTTGTACCTATACTATTTTTAAAAGCTGATACTTTTCATATTTTCATAATATTATTAACTTGTATTTGTGTATTTTTTAACAACTATCATGAACGAGTGATCATGATTCGTAGTTTTTATAGGTATACTTGTTCACAAAAAAACTCGGTGGCATAATACTACAACGCAATTTTATATAAAAAATAAAAATACCTAGTAAGAAGTACCTATTTAAAATCCAAAAGTTTTCAAAAAGGGTAATCTTGTAATATATTGTATAGTTTTGTATAGCGACTCAAATATTTAGTTTCATGTAATGTTATTTAATTGACATCACCTAAGTCAGAAATGATGATTTCAACGTTAATTTCCAACGAATAACTTAACAGGAAAAAAATGAACGTTAATCGTCGTCTCATATCGGGCAATTGACATGAACATATTTTGATTTCTAACGATAACTGCCCATGTAGGTAATTGGTGAAAAATGTTAATGACCAGCATAACATTATGTTATGTTCTCAATAATTATTATTTACCGTACCTAACGTAAATATATTATAAGTACCTACTTATAAAGCTGGTTGAAACTAAGTACACACAACTGCAAGAGGTAACTACTATAGTTGAATATCGGACGTGATTGGGCACATTACAAGACATGATGATGAAAAATCATAATGATTGTATAATAGAAGGAGTAGAGTAGAAAGTATGAGAAACGCGATGGGGGGCGATCCGTAAGAGCGTAATTCATAAAAAAAAAAAAATTTTTTTCGATGCTGAACTGATGAAAATAATATTATTACGCAATTACGCATGATGACCTGTTGGATCAGAAGTTTGCTGGGAGGAACGACTGAAAATGAAGGTTGATCTGCTCTAATAAGAAGAACTCACATTTGATATGTATTTTATTTTATCGGAACGTTTAATTACTATTGTTTAAATTAATACAGATCTGTTGTTTGTGGTTACATTTTATGGAGGAACCTAGTCAAAACCGAAAGTTTTTATTGCTGACCCTCACTCTCCTGAGACTAGAATAGGAAAATACAAGTGTATTGACAACTTTGCAAATAGTTTAAAGGAGTGTTTACAACCACTTACAGCCACCACTCAGATGTCGTTATATTTATGGCTTTTACATCGAATTCTCGCGTGTAATACGCGTATGATGAAACGGAATTGTGTAAAATGTAAATGATTTTTGGAAAAAAATTAAAATTAAATTTCGCAAAACGGTTTTATCGATTTATCGATTTATTATTTATTTTTTTTCAAATAGTATCACCACCTCCCTACCAGTTCATACTTGATGATATGATAAATATGTGTATATACCAGAATCGGCCAAATTCAGCTTCGTGGCCGTGGACATAACGATGTCCGGTCCTCTGCCGTCGTCGCGGCGGTCGGCGGTCATGGCATTATTGCAATGGACGGCGGACAAAGCCGCGGCGGCGGCGGCGGTAGTGGCGTCGTCGTCGTAATAGTCGTCGGGGCCACGCGCCGCCGGAAACGTGCTAGACAACGGTCGACCAGTCGCTTCCGGCACCGACGTGTACAACTGCACCCGGCGGGACAACGTTTGCGAGTGCAGCAGGGGCGCGCAAGCCCCGGCACGACCGTCATCGGACGTGGCGGTTGGCAGTTGTTGCAGTCGTCGTTGTCGCTGCTGCTGTTGCTGCTGCAGTTGTTGCTGTCGCTGTTGCAGTTGTCGCTGCTGCTGCAGCTGATGCTGTTGTCGCGCGCCGTCGACGTCTGCGGCCGGCGGCGGTGCGGTCTCCGCGGTCTTCAGACGCCCGACGATCGGGGGTTTTCCAGCACCATCTCGAGCATCACCGCTATCACCGCTGTCACCTCCCGTACCGTCGCATCCAAGGCTGTACGTGACGTGGCCGCGGTCGCCGCGACGGTCGCCGTAGCGTTGACGGCGGTACAATATCGCCACCACGCCGCATATGCCGCAAGACAGTGCCGCGACCACAGCCACTAGAACGGCAGTTAGGGCGGTGGACGTGGCCCGCCAACGTCTGTGCGGTGGCCGGGCGCGGTCCTCGTCGTCCCAGCCCGGTTCCGAGCCCTCTGCGGACGGCGGCAATACCAGGGAAAACGCGTCTGCCAGCGCGACGGTGACGCGGCGCCAAGCGTAGCCCAACGCCGATTCGTCTGCGAAACAAAACACAAATGGTTAGGCGATGGTCGTTGAGGCGTAACTGTAGGCCTTAAAGTTACCGCGGGGGAGGAGGGCTTCAGCCTTACAGTTTTTATGAGGATAAGTTAAGAAGTTAGGAGCTTTTCACATCACCCCACACTTCCTTACCACCAACACACCATACATTAACAGTTAATAGAAATGATGAATATAGTTTATTGATAATAATTATTGTTGTTTATTACATATATATTGTATGTGTTTGACGTGTGTATAATGCGAATCAAAAAAATAACAGTATTGAGGGAAACGTTAAGTGATTAAAATATACAATTTTAGTTAGGTATGAATTCAAATTTTTCGATTTTAATTGAAGGTCAAAGGATATATTAGGAAAATAATTACAGAAATAAGTACTCTAGACATTATACTCATTATAGTATAAGCTTAATCATTTCGTCTATCGTGTCGTTTCCAAAAGTAGAACTCAATCCAATTTTAGAAATTTCCTAGTTAGTGAATGATACCATCACGATATATATGATATGATTATATTATCATAGCCGATCGGGATATGATAAAAGCCACACGACACGATAGCTAGACGATACAGCTGTGAACCCGTTTTCATGTATTTAGCACGCGATAATTGGTCAATTTAAGAATCATCATTCATCAAATTTATAATGTTACCGGAATATCTGTAAATTTTATAATTATTAACTACAGCAGGAAATTTGTTCACAAACATTTTATGTAAAAAAAAAATAATCTATATAAGCTTTTTAAAAAATGGTACCTATGCAATTTAATTACTAACTTAATATGATTAACCTGGTATTGAAATTTAAATTGTAAAAATAAAACTCTGGAAAAAAAATTAATTTTGATTAATTTAAAATACTGTAAAAGGTCAAATGTTTTTAAGTACTAGTACATTATATTGTTATGTCCATCACTTAATGACATTATATTTTTTTTGTAAACCAAAATATTTGTATTGGTTAAGTTGACTATAAAATTAGGTGGTTGATGTATTAAAACAACTATAAAAATTAAAATATATTATGTATGTATGTATATACTTATTTGCTTTAATCATCAATTTGATTAAAAAAATATATTGTATTATGCATACCTATATATAATATATAAATAAAGATTATTGGCCTTAACGAGGGGAACTGGAATATTTGAATATTTTTTAACAATTTCATATTAATGTATTATATTATTGGTCTTTAATAATTTTTATCATATTTAATAATATTTATTTTCTTCAAACTCTATGTCATTAAAATGAACAAAACGAAATGAGTGTCAAATCAGTCTTTATTGCAGAAATACCCAGGTACAGCCAGTTTAATAATTTATTTTTGGAACGAATATTTTTTTCCAAAATTATAATATAATCATAGCTATTATAATAACAACTGTCGTAATTTTTTGGATACCTGCTACTAATATAATATATAAAAAAATATAAAAAAAAAAAAATAAATAAATACAAAAATACAAAAATATTCAAATGTTTAGGAACAAGAACTCAAACTATTGACTATACTTAATATGGGTATTAAATAAATTGTGGGGCAGGTAGTAAGAGTAGTAAGAAGTACAAAACATTACAACACACCTCAAAGAAATAAATCATAAAATAATAAAGTCTATGGTAGGAGAAAGTTGTTAGTCTACCCTGGGGATAAAGCATAAATCTTAACATAATAAATTGTTTGTATTTGCATAGAAAAACTATAATAAAATAAACGATACAACACTACATATGCAATACGTATTGTTATTTATTATTTCGATGCCAATATGAAATTAATGCATTATAAATAATCAATTCAAGAAGCAAGATCTATTAACAGTATGAAATAATATTTACAAAATAAAAAACTTACAAGATTTCCGAAAATCAAAAAGGTTAGGATCGATTTATATATGGCGTGCAGAAGTTAATTAAACTAATACTTATAGAAAAATAGCAACCAGTAAAAGGACTACATTGACGTCGGATAAGCCGAGTGACAAACGATTTAAAAGGATTAAAGGCAGAGGCGAGCATTGAAGATACAAAAGATAAAAAACAAATAGATAGAAGCAACAAATAGCCTATAAAACAAAAAAAAATATCTTAGAAGATGATAGAATAGAAACTATTGATATTTGATTATTTGATGTAGAGTATACTAAAACAAATTTAAAAGCAATATTTTATTAATTATTTAGAACCAAATTTTATGTTGCTGTAGAAATATTATATTTATTATATTATATTAACAGTGGTAAAAATATATTATAAGTATTAAACATTTTAAGCAATTTATCAGAGTACGTGACTAAAGTCAATTCAATTAAATTAACTATATAAATTATATACTATTATAACCTATTATACGTTTATAATACTAACCGTAATGCATAATGTATACCTACAATATTAGGTACCTATATGATTGGTTGGCAAAAAATAAGTGACTTTTATATCTTTTAAATAACGTAATGTCAAATTAAAAAAAATATTAACAGCTTTTTTTATAATTATTATTTATTAAAAATATAATGTTAATTGAATACATAATATAGTACCAGCGTACTGTATAATATGTATCTGTAGGTTGGGTATCTAACCTATTTTTGATTTATTTATTATAATGGTTAGTTAATTAAATGGTTTTAAAATTGTCTGATAAAATTATAATTTTTATAAGAATAAATAATAGATAATAACTAGTAAATAGTCTGAAATACTATAAATATACAGTACTTCGAGATATATAAATGTTTTAAACCTACTTAATATCGGAACATCACGAAAATGATCTTAACAAACAGTACACAAAATTATTACATTATTGATATAATAATATAAAAGTAACTAAGTATAAACATTTGTTGTTATAACAACAATAAAATACCCATACTAATTTAATTAAAAAGAAAAACTACTCATTTCCAAATAATATATTGATTTGAAATCATTATTTATTGTTTATTGAGTTATACTTAACAAAATATTTTTAATAACTATATTATTCTAACATACTTTGTTCAAATTTGTAATTAATTATTTGGTCGTAAATTTGTTGGATTTACAAAAGCATTAGGTATATAAATTTTCTTTAATCAATGTATTAAATGGATTATTATAGAAATAAATGTAGTTAGTGATCGTTATGTGTAATGGTACTTAATATAATATCAATAACTTTTATGATTATCAAAATTTTTGAATTTTTAAGACTTATACTGCAGTGTCGCGCCAAGAAATGTTGAGAGCACAATATGCAGTAAACAAAAATACCGATCCATCCTTTTTTAGTATGTAAAAAGAATGTTATTTTAAAATTTAAAAAAAAAATCATGAATAATATTTTATTAATTATAGTGCCTAAATAGACGATTGGCTATTGTAGGCTGGGTCTTATTGCAAGTATGCAAGTATGCCTGGTATATAATATGAGTAGTAAAATATAGTATATTATTCCTGTGAAATGATTTATGAATTTGTCATTTTTCAGATATTTTTTAACTTTTGATAACCACCAACACTTTTTATGATTTTGATTAAAAACTTATGTAATATATTATTTTTTTGCACTTTTATCAGAAATTATGATATTAAGATTTGAAATATGCTACATATATTTTTCATTTTGATTTGATAAATATAACCATACAAAAATGTATTCAATGAATCCAAGGGGTTTTTTTTAAATTTAATGAAAGAATACATAATAAAATAAATTGTTTATTAAAAATTAAAATGCAAACTAAATCACTCGATTTCGTTTTTATTTTCCTTGGTGGTGCGCTATTAGAAAACGTATAAAATATATTGGGCAATGGACATAGATATATAATTTAACATTTTATTAGATTTTTGTACCCAATTAAAAAATTTATTTATTTTTTACTTATTACTGATTTGATTTCAGATTTTATCTATATTTTTACAAATAACAGAAGGAATACATTTTATTGAAAACCATACAGGTAATGTTTTTCACTTTTCAAAGAGTTGCTTGTCATTGTTCATTAATCAAAAATAATAATAATTAGTCATTGTTTATATATCCATTCTTCAAATAATCCTCCATAACGATAAATATATTTTATTAAAATATAATATTACTAGGTACTTGTTAATAATGAATACTCAGAGTCTAAAGTTTAACTAAAACCTTTTTCTTTTTTAAGTTAAATATCTTTAGTAAATATATCGTTAGTATTGATTATAAAATAAATACACGGTATCGATATTAAATTATAAGCTTTTAATTTCAAACTAATTTTATAAAGCGATTTAAACGTTTTATTTTTGATTATCGTTTCGGTTGAGAGGGAAGCTAATGTTTTTACTTGGTTAACAGATTGAACGTTTTTCACAGTTGAACATGCCTTTAACGTTTTTCCCATTTATCAACAAAACTGACTTTTAACCTTTATTTACAGAGAGGAAAATACAATAATATTTTTTTAAGGAAACAAATTAGAATAAAGCTACGTATATGCGATGTAACATGCAAAAATTTAAATAACAAAATAATAGTAAAAATAAAAAAATAAAAAAAGGAATAATATTACGGTAAACGATTTTTCTTCGTATAATACGTTACATGTTGTATATGTTTAATGAGATGTATACGAAGTGAAATTACGCTTCAAAAACAGTTACCCCCAGGTGTTTAAACATAACATTAACGAATGTGTACCTATGTATAAGCAATAGTTGTGCGTGTTTATAATATCATAATCGGTGTATAGTGTTGTAAAATAGAATAAAGGGATCTATAGCCGCAAGTATATTTCTGTCGTAGCCATCATTGTTATTTGCCTTAAAATACTGATATATTATTATAACGGCAATTCAAACAGAAATATAGATTAGAATAAGTGGGTACCTAGTTAGTTGGTTATATTAGTGGTTACACAAAAATATTATGTTCAGTTTCAATAATATTAGTAATTGCAGTGGGTACAGCAATTTTCCGCCACAAAACCTAAT